TTAGTAAAAGATTAGTTAGTAAAAGCTGCAAGTGCAAATCTACCAAAAGTATTGCGCTTGAGATTTCTGATATCCGGCAATTGATAACAGATTAGTTAGTGCCAGACTAGTTAGTAAAAGCTTGAAAACATTGGATTCATGCGTTTAATGCTAATTTACACTGTGCAAATCTACCAAAAGTATTGCGCTTGAGATTTTTGATATCCGGCAATCATCTCCTAGAATTTTCCTTTCATTCACATGACCAAGCCAATCTTTTTCTCCATGAGAACTCTCTGATCTCTATCACAAGTTCTATATGTACTCAAGAATATTAAAAAAAAAAAACTCGAGCATGTAAATTGATACGACAAAAACAAGTTGTCTATTCTTGACGTTTCCTCAATTTTGTTTGTCTACCGTAATAAGAAAGAATCTCTTTTTTTTGATGTAATCCAAAAATGGGAACGGCTACTCGAACCACGGGCAGATTTCCCTTCTGAAATCCGAGCTTTTCTTCTTTTCTTCTTTTCTTCGCAACATTTTCACAAAAAAAAGAAGTTCATTAACATTTCCGCGAGGTCATTCTTTGGAAAAACAAAAGAAGAAAAGTTTTGTGGACGCTAAATATTTGAAAGTTAGTTCGAAAAGTTCGAAAATAGTGGAAAGATTTTGTAAAAATAAAGATGAACGACAAGTGATATCTATTTGTTTGTTTTTAAGTTTTAAGAGCAAGTGAACAAGGGAAAGGCACGAAATCAAGGTGAATCAAAAGCTCAAAAGCAAAAGCAAAAGCAAGAGCAAAAGACTCAAAAGTCTGGACTGTGCACTTTATAGAATCCGAATCTGAAATCAAAATCTGTCAAATCACTTTCCAGGCGTGTAAAACTTCAGTCGAAAATTTGACGTTAAAAAGGATGCTTGACGGCCTAGTGGCTCTTTCATAGCGGAGAAAAGGCGCCTTGTTGGCCTAGTGGATAACACATTAGGTTTCCGTTCACAGGATCAGGGCTTCCGGGATCACAGGGCTTCCGCTCACAGGATCACTCGTTCGCTCCCTGATTTCAGATGCGAATTCCCCATAGGTGATTCTATAAAGTGCACTAGGTGTCCAGATAAAAGCTCGCCTTGATTTCGTGCCTTTTCCTAGTCAAACGCAGCCTTGCCTTATCTGGGTATGGTGAAAAGTGTTTAAAGTCTATTTCGGAAATAATGTTTCCTAAAACGTATCAACTTTTGAAGCCTGCTAATGTCCGAATCTAAAGCATGAACTTTCAAAAACTACTGTATATTTGATTTTACTAGTACCATTGCTCTAGTTGATTTTCTATTCAACTAGAGCAATCGTTACTTTTTATACTTTTTATACTTTGTGAACCCTCACAGCATCAGACCAAAGTAGATACACTATTGGACAATGAAATATCAGATTTGAAAAAAGATCATCACTTTCCCGCGTCTGTAACTCCCTTGTCTTTACCGTTTTTCTAAATATTAATATTACCATTGTGTAGCCCTTGAAAAGAGCTTTCAGAAAATGTATAACACTAATAGTTTAAACTCAAAGACGAGGGAGTTACAGACGCGCGAAAGTGACGATCTTTTTTCAAATATGATATTTCATTGTCTAGTAATGTAGATCGGCTAAAATTAAAGACAAGATTACGGTAGTTTACAGAAACTGACACGCTTCAAAAAACTGCATAATCTAGACACTCAAAATTGTCGTCTAGGATTTGTGAAATGTTCGGTTTACCTCTAGCAACACCAGCAATTACAGCTTTACCGAATTCGAATACAAAAACAAAGATATGTTATCCTTTTCGTCAACCCTATTCCATTTATGAGCAATCGGATCTTACTCATTTCTTTCCAATCTCTTCAAACTATTTTCATCACATTTTCCTCACTTTTCCCTTCATAACAACTCGCTTCTAATTGTGAATGACCGCATCATAAAAAAGTCGAAAAACAAAACACACACTTCCCATTCACGAAAACGAAAAAACGAGGAACAAATATGAGTAAAATATTTTTCTTTTTCTTTCTTTCCAACAAACCAAGCTTTTTCTGGATGACTACAAATTTCATCGTATTTTTCTTGATGATGTAAAAATAAAAGCAAAAATGTATAAAGATCCCAATAAACAAAGAGCAACGAGACATTGATGAGGGAAATAAAAAGGAGACGTCATTCCAAAGAGGGAAAAGGGGATTTTTGGATGATTGGATTTCCAAGAGGGCTTTATTTTTAGGTTTTTTTTTTTTTGGAGGGGCTGTGCAAAATTTGTCAATTTGCCAATTTGTCAAACTTTATCGTTACTCTTTTACTGGTAAATCAAAGTTTTCAATTTTCAATGAAGATTTACAACGAGGGTAGCTTGCGCTAGGAACTAGCAACAGCAGAGTTTGATGGAACTAGCAACAGCAGAGTTTGATGGAACTAGCAACAGCAGAGTTTGATGGAACTAGCAACAGCAGAGTTTAGCTGTAGAGTTTGATCTAAAATTTGTCAACTTTTGAAAGGTAATGAACTATTTAACGTTAACAAAACGTAAGCTTATCTTTTTTTCTTGATGATGTAAACAAAAAAAAACGAATTGTGTGCTAAGAAAAACATTTGAAAAGCTAGAGTCATTGTCTGCATCTAACATTAAAGATTAGAATGTAAAGCTTTGCATCATCAGTATGATGACGAGTCACCAAAAAGCTGCCTTAGTCTAATAAGACACCAGAAATACCGTACTTGAGACAATGTCGCGAAATACCGTACCTAAAAAGACGCCTCATTTCCTTTTTGAATAAATTTTCTCATTTCTCTTCTGTTTTGTTTTGTTTTTGTTTTTTTTTTGTTTTTTTTTGTTTTTGTTTCTTTTGCTCGAGATTTTTCGATAATTTTTATCAAAATGATTTCTTTTTGTCTCTAGATGAAAACATTGTTTCGTTGAAACATTTTCACACGTTTCACCCCCACTTTTATTGAATAAGGCTTGGTTTTGTTTTCTTGATTCATTTTCTTGTTTCTTGTTATTACTGTTATTCAAGCAAAAGCGCACTAGTTTAGCCACATCTAGTGAATTCAAGGGAAAGCACACTAGTAAAACAGAGCAAATTAGTTTTATTGCACGAATTTTCAGAGAAAAGAAAGAACTTAAAACTTTAGATAGTTTAAAGTTTTAAAGATATAAAACTATCTCATAAAATCACAACTATTGGATTGGTGAATTGAAAACTGCCGGCTATTGTCATATGTGACAGTTTGAGGACTTTCTTCAAAAGAAACCCATTTTGGTGTTAATGGAAAAGTTGTAGAGAATCAAAAATTAGGCTTATATCCAAATTTCCAAAAAGATACACTTAGTAGTTTCGCTTAAAATTTGTGTGTTCCGTGCGTTCTTTGTCCGACCGCGTAATCGCTCGCCGTCTGGCGCAGGACTTTTACATAAGTCCCTTCCCTCTCTCTATACCAAACTAAGCTGGCCGCTCCGAATCCTCAAATTGGACATTGATTTCTCCGCAAATCAAGGCTAATCTCAATCTATTGGGTTGGTGAATTGAAAACTGCCGGATATTGTCATATGTGACAGTTTGAGTACTTTCTTCAAAAGAAACCCATTTTGGTGTTAATGAAAAAGTTGTAGAGAATCAAAAATCAAGCTTATATCCAAATTTTCAGAACGATTCAAAAACTGATTTTCAAGAAATTGCCAAATTTACGAATTTTCACAAAAGTTGCATTTTAAGCGAAACTACTAAGTGTATCTTTTGGAAATTTGGCTATAAGCCTCATTTTTGATTCTCTACAACTTTTCCATTGACACCAAAATGGGTTTCTTTTGAAGAAAGTGCTCAAACTGGTCCTCCATTTTTGTCTTCAGTCTCCAGTCCTCCATTTTTGAGTCTCACACTTGTCTCACACACAAACCAAAATCCTACTACGAAAGAGGAATCCGCAAATTGCTTGTAAAATGGGCAGAAGTCGTCAATAATAATGGAAGTTATTTGGAATGAATTCATGGTTTTATGTGGAATAAATTTTAGTTCAAAGTCCCGCAGTTTTCAATTCACCAACCCAATAACAAATCTCAAAGCAATTTCTTTAAGTCAAATGTGAAATATTTGACTGTTTTGTTATTCATAGGAAATCTTTCAAATGTTTTCCGAGGTATATCCATACCTCCGAGCTATACCCATACCCTTAAATCGTTTTCTAAACGTTGACATTCTGTTCTTCTAAATCGTGACTCTTGTTATTCGTCGCATTACTGTAACTTGTACCTTTATAAGGCGATTTCTTTTTTTTCATCATTTTCCCCTCTCTTCAAACTCATTTTCTATCACTTTGATAAAGTTTACATTCATTTTCAACACTTTCAAATCACATCACAAGCGAACTACATTAACTCCGATCATTTTCCGATCAACTTTCAAACAAAGAACACAAGTTTAGCATCAATAAACCCCCAAAAAAGGACTTTAATTCACAGGAATTTTAACAGGAAATACCCATCAACTCTATCTAATCGAAGCCACAAAATGCAACATCAAAAATCTCTTCAAAATCACCTGCTTCATTCAGAGAATAGTGTTCCCATTTTGCTGAAAAAAAACTCCTGAGAAAAGGGCGGGTTTATCCTTTTTTTCGTGGTAGTGTGATTATCGAAACTTATCGAAACCACGCCCATTCCACGCCCATTCCACGAAAAAACTCGGTTCCTCAAAAAAGGCGCTCAAAAAGACCGGTAGAGCCAGAAATTGCAATTCCTCTCGAAATTCGAGCTATGTCAAAATCGTTTTCGTTTCGCCTATTTTGCTTGCTTTCATTGCTGAACGCGATCGCGGCATTATCAACCGATATCTACTCACTCGAGACATTCGATTGGAGAGAGCCGTTATCAGATGAAGAAGAGATTCCACGACATCATCCAAAACATCATCAACATCATCAACATCATCAACATCATTTCAAAAATTCCGATGATTCGGAAGACATCCAATCACATCACCGATCGAAGCTGAGAATGAGAAGGGAAGAGCCGAGGAGATTGTGCGGCAGATTTTTGACGACCAAAGTGAATCTGGTTTGTGCCATAATCGTAAATATAGTAGAATATTTTATAAAGTATAATATTATATTATATAAAGATCTAAATTTTGTTAATTCCTATTCCTTTTCAGATGTGCAAGGGTTGCACGAAACCGGTGGCCAACTCGAATGGTGAAGGTGAGTCAAATAATTATGGATAAAGATATAGAATAAAGATCTTGATATTGTACTAAGAGCTCTTCTTTCCGAATACTAAGCTCGGTATGGATTTGAGTCCAGGGAGAATGTACAATCCCTAACTCTAGACATGGGGAAATTCCAACCCAAGCCTAATTCCAACCCATGCCTAATTCCAACCCAAGCCTAATTCCAACCCATGCCTAATTCCAACCCAAGCCTAATTCCAACCTAAGCCTAATTCCAACCCAAGCCTAATTCCAACCCAAGCCTAATTCCAACCCAAGCCTAATTCCAACCCAAGCCTAATTCCAACCCAAGCCTAATTCCAACTCAAGCCTACCTCCACTTTCGTTTTCTCAGCTGTTCCTCTGACATTTTTGTCCACAAGCAGAGAATTTCAATTTCTATTTGTAAGCAAAATTTTAGAATAATCGGCCAAAAGAGAAAACGGAGGCTGAATAAGGTTTTCTCATTTCTACTAAGAGCCACTGAGCGTAAGGATCCAGTGGGTCATTCCCTATCTAGCTATAGTTAGGGATTGAGGTAATTCTTACATCTAGACTAGATCTAGACAATCTAGACATACTGGACTAAATAAGGCTACATTCGAATAGTATCCCAGTAAGGGTGAACCCTAGTTTCATTCGAATTACAAGATCTCCACGGCTCACTCTAGTTTTAGATATTTAAAGCTAAGGATATTTTCGTTATTTAGATATTTAGATATATTTAAATAGAACAAGGGTTACTGTAGCTTTAGATCTTTAGATATTGACTAGTTTTACATGTTAAATATACCAATATCCCAAATTTCAGTTGGTACTGGTTTCTCCGGCCTTGCGGACATCTGTTGTTATAAGGGAAAATGCACGGATTCAATCGTCAAGCAACATTGTGATGATGATTGTAAAAACCATTAATCTCTTCATAATTTTAATTATCTTTAAGCCTGGTAGCTTTAAAGAACTCATTTAGTTTTAATTGAATAGCTTAATTGAATAGCTTTTTTGAATCAATTTCGACCAGTGATTGATCAAAAAAAGTTACTAAAAAAACCAGCTACAAAAGCTTGCTGAATGAAATGGGCGGTTTTCTATTTGGAATTTTTACCGTAGCATTGATACCGTAGCATTGTTACCGTAGCATTGTAACCGTAGCATTGTAACCGTAGCATTGTTACCGAAGCATTGTAACCGTAGCATTGTTACCGTGCATTGTTAACGTAGCATTGTTACCGTAGCATTGTAACCGTAGCATTGTAACCATAGCATTGTTACCGAAGCATTGTAACCGTAGCATTGTTACCGTGCATTGTTAACGTAGCATTGTAACCGTAGCATTGTAACCATAGCATTGTTACCGTAGCATTGTTTCATTCAGCAAGCCTATCACCTCTTTACTGCCCATTCATTGAGCTTTTATCTCTCAATGCTTTCATTTCCCCACACAAGCCTACCGTAGGCTCTAAAGAGGTTTCTATGATTCATTTTCATATTGTTAACATATTTCGAATAGATAACGATAAGCTAAAGATAAAAGATATCTTTAGAAAAAGCTACCTTAACCCCTGCCCTATCTGGGTTACATTGGGATACTGTAGCTTTTTCTTAAGAGGATTATATTATAATCTATCATGCTATGATCCAATTACTATATCCGAAATAGATCCTAAAAGATGCCCTCAGCTACCATAAATCTTTAGTCCTTTAGCGTTAGAAGATCAACTTTTAATGGTAGCTTTGGGCACCTTTTAGGAAACATCAAGAAGATTATTAAGAAGATTTTTAAGAAGATTATTAAGAAGATTAAGACGCTCCACTTACCGTATCACAATTTGTACAGTCTCCAATTATTTTTCACCCAAAAATGTTGCTATCATTTCATTTTCATTCAAATCGTACTAGGCACGAGCTGCTTTTTCTTTCTTTTTTTTTCTGCATAAATCTCTTGTTTACCATTTTTTTTTTCTTTCAAACGGGTTTCTTTTCCCCATTTCTTTTTTTTTTTTTTTTTTTTCTTTAGTCTACTTTCCGGTTTTGGTGAAAAATTCAAAAATACGGGTGTAAAATTAGAGGCAAAATTTGTGCATAGAAATGAATTGTGATGAAAACTGGTAGAAAAAGAAGTATTTTTTTTTTTTGTTTTTTTTTGTTTAGAAAACTCTGGTATATATTAGTGTTTGTTTGTGTTTGTTTTCCTTTTTATTGTGCTATTCGAGCTTTCGGCTAGGTGTTGCTTTGTGATTTTTTTTTTCTTTTCGCCCACAAACATTGTTGTGACATTGTTGATCACAAGGAAAAGATATTTGAATGGAAATAATAAAAGGAATTTTGTTTTAAGAGAAAGAGAAACATTCTGGAACACATCAAAAGTTACAGAGATTAAAAAACGGCCATACTTTTAGAGGTCACGATAAAATGAATAGCTCTAATTGATTCGCTGATCGCGAAAAGCCGCAACCACAAATTCACAGCTGAATATCTTTTTGTGATATCTATTGGGTTGGGGAGAATGAGTCGGCGCCGAAAATGAAAAAAATGTCTAAAACTTCAATTCGACTTCGTCAAATAATATGCGTTTGATATGAGTAGAATGGTTGACTAATTCTCTACAAAATCACATTTAAAAGAAAATTCAAACAGCGCCTCCGCTCAAGAAAAAGCCATTTTTTCACAAAAACTACAAACTGTGATCTAGAAAAAACCATTGGTGGGATCTTCCTGCAAATTTGGCAACTTAAGTAATTGAATGTGCTCTATCTTTTTTATATAAACACCAAAGAAGGTTTATGTGAAAGAAACTGTTCAAATGATGAGTCGGACTCTTTGCCATTTTAACCAGCTGCGTTTGGAAGTTCATAAACTCGACGAAAGAAAAGCTTTGTGGAATCTCTCAAAAGTGATTTTGTAGAGAAATAGTGGATCCTTTTGATGAAACCAAACGTATGTTTAAAGAAGGCTTTATGTGTGCAAAAAGTCCCTTTAAAGTTTGGCGCCGACTCATTCTCCCCAACCCAATACAAAAGAAAAGAAAGATCCCCGAAGAGATGTTCTTTGTGCTCTTCATCTGGCAATCGCACAATCGCTCTTCATCTGGCAAGCCTCTCCAATATAAGGATATCCTTTTTGGAACTCGTAAAGGAGAAGGAGCGGTCAGCCAAAGAAACAACAGGATCGATTTCCTGTTCGTCTTCGTCTACCCAAGCAACGACAAGAAGACCTCAATCAACGAGCTCTTCGAGAAGATTGAACCTCAAGGTTACACATCACATTCGCTGAGGGCTGGAGGAGTCATTGCGGAAACACTACATCGAAGAGGTCCTTGGAATTCGATGGCCGGAATGGAACCTGCATGACTCAATTGGAGCTCAAGGAAGAAAGACAATGATATAAGCCTGAAGGCAAATTCCACCTAGTTTTATGTTTATTCTCTGCGTATAATTCCCTAAAAGTTGTTTTTGATTGGCTAAGATTTTAGTCCTGCTGTGATTCGCTGTTCTTTTCTTTTTCCCTGCTAGCCAATAAACCTTATCTACCTTTTTTTTTACAATCCGCAAAGGGGAAGAAGCGGTCAGCGACTGAGCCATTTTCGCGGTTTTGGACGTTTGCTCAAATTTTTGGGATCATTCCTTTATTTTTCCCAGAAATTCCATATCTTTCTAAACTATTGTGTTACTTAAACAGCAATTAAACCGAGAAAATAATGCAATCAGTTGCAAAAAAGTGAGTTGATTTTCTCAGAAATCGTTAGTCGAATCAACATCTTTTTATATTAATTAACTTAAACTAACTATATGTAAGCTTGTCTACCTACCTAGCTTATCTACCTACCTAGCTTATCTACCTACCTAGCTCTACCTACCTAGCTCTACCTACCTAGCTCTACCTACCTAGCTTAACTACCTACCTAGCTCTACCCACCTAGCTCTACCTACCTAGCTCTACCTACCTAGCTTAACTACCTACCTAGCTCTACCCACCTAGCTCTACCTACCTAGCTCTACCTACCTAGCTTAACTACCTACCTAGCTCTACCCACCTAGCTCTACCTACCTAGCTTAACTACCTACCTAACTCTACCTACCTAGCTCTACCTACCTAGCTCTACCTACCTACAACCAATCGTATCTTAACATAAGTTGCAATAATTGCCATTTCCGATTGCAAATTTGTTTCCTTTTTCTCAATCCTCAATCTATCCTAGATCATAATTCGAATTAGATATGGATTCACTTCCCTAATTCTCATTGAGATAAGCAAAAGTGATACCCAACTCTAAAAGAAATCCTCTCGTCTAATCCCATACAATCCTAGCTAAAAAGTGCATTTGCAACATGGGGAAATGAATACGTTTCAGGAGATTTATCGGTCAAACAATTTTTCTTTTTAATTTGTAGTCTCAAGTAAGTGATTCGGGCAAGTTCTTCCTGTACTCTTTTTCGAGTAATCCAACCTTCTCAATCTCAAGGGCAAATTCATTATGATATTTGCCGAAATTTGAAATTTTCGGATATCTTGTGACTGTTTTTCCGGATTGAAATTCTTCCGGGAGGGCTTCCTTGTCAAAAATCACTCAAGGAAGGAATTAGAGGTCATTGCGGGGGAAGGTTTATCTTTTGAATGTGGATTCTAATTGTACGACTCGAGTCAACCGGGATCTACAATGAGTCAAGTCAAGGAAAATCAAGCTTGTGGCAAAACCCTTCATGTAAACTTTCTCTCCTTGAACAGAGCAACACTTTCTGCTTTGTGCAAAACTTTCTCAGCACGAACTTGAAGATGTTGGGCTGGGTTTTTGTTAAATCTTAGATAGACGGAGAATGGCAAAACTTTCTGTAATCTTCAGCGTTCTAGAAATTCTAGAAAAATTTAATTACAGAGTAAGATGAAAGATAAATCAATCATCTGTTTGGGAAAGATTTTGAGGCAAAAGTTTGCCAAGTTCCCTCAGCGCGTGACGAGTGAACTCATTGCATTGTTCCCCCATTCATTCATCTCTTCTCCTTCGCTTCTCTTCACTCCTTTTTACTCCTTTGGGACTTCATCCACTAATTTACATCTCACTTTCATCTCACTTTCATCTCATTTTCATCATATTTTCTCTTATCCTTTTCTTTTCTTCTTTTTACTTTCTTGTGATTGTGTTTGAGTTCAATTTTCATTGTTGCAGATGTGTTTGTTTGGAGAGGGACAAATTGAGGCCTTTTTTTGAGCCACGTGAAAACTTTTGAAGCCGAAAAATTTTGATTCTTGATTTCGACCTTTTGAGGAAGAGAATTGCGGGGTTTCTCGAAAAAGGCAACAATTTGAAATTGAAGCCTTTCAAAGAGCAATTGGTAACTATGTGATTTGTCAAAAATCGTTCTTATCGAAGAAAAGAACAGAAAATTTCCTGGTGTTTGGTGACTTTTTTTGGGTATGCTGAAACGCATCCTTTCTGGTGTATTAATTCTTTAGACTAAACGGAAATTGAGTGCTTTTCGTTTGCTGAGTTTGTTGAATCCTAGTCTAGCATCCTTTTCTCGATTGCTAAACCAGCGTTGTGCGTTCTTTTCACGACACTTTATCGGGGGAAACGGAGTCTGGCACACTGCCTGGATTGGGGTCACCACTTGGTCAATTGAAGCGACTTAAAGCGATTTTTTTTTCTGTTTCTAATTGTACAACGATGACGGAATCTTTCCTGGAACCTTTCTAGAGGAAAAGCTACCGTTTTTGTTTCCCAGACCTAATGTATAGTATGCTTTTTCTAGGTGAAGGTCTGCTACCTAACGGAATGTTGGATAGTTGTCGGTTATACGCCCAAATGCATCATGCATGGTTAAATCCCCCTCAAATTAGCATACCAATTTCAAATACCATTTGACGAGATGTCTATGCATGTCTATGCACAGGTTGTCTATGCATGTCTTTATATT